AAATACATATTGTAAAGTGGTTATCCCACTGGCTATAAGGTGAATGCACCAATTTGTAAGTCGCTCTGGATAAGAGCGTCTGCTAAATGACGTAAATGTAAATGTAAATGTAATATGTACATGTAGGTCGAGTTATTAAAGTGACTATGCATAGATAATAAACATAGAGTAGCAACAGCGTAAAAGGGGGTGGGCAATGCAAATAGTCTGGGTAGCCATTTAATTAGATGTTCAGGAGTCTCATGGCTTGAGGGTAGAAGCTGTTTAGAAGCCTCTTGGACCTAGACTTGGCGCTCCGGTACCGCTTGCCGTGTGGTAGCAGAGAGAACAGTCTATGACTAGGGTTGCTTGAGTCTTTGACAATTTTTAGGGCCTTCCTCTGACACAGCCTGGTATAGAGGTCCTGGATGGCAGGAAGCTTTGCCCCAGTGATGTACTGGGCCGTACGCACTACCCTCTGTAGTGCCTTGCGGTCAGAGGCCGAGCAGTTGCCATACCAGGCAGTGATGCAACCAGTCAGGATGCTCTCGATGGTGCAGCTGTAGAACCTTTTGAGGATCTGAGGACCCATGCCAAATCTTTTCAGTCTCCTTAAGGGGAATAGGTTTTGTCGTGCCCTCTTCACGACTGTCTTGGTGTGCTTGGACCATGTTAGTTTGTTGGTGATGTGGACACCAAGGAACTTGAAGCTCTCAACCTGCTCCACTACAGCCCCGTCGATGAGAATGGGGGCGTGGTCGGTCCCCTTCTTTTTCCTGTAGTCCACAATCATCTCCTTTGTCTTGATCACGTTGAGGGAGAGGTTGTTGTCCTGGCACCACACGGCCAGGTCTCTGACCTCCTCCCTATAGGCTGTCTCGTCGTTGTCGGTGATCAGGTCTACCACTGTTGTGTCATCGGCAAACTTAATGATGGTGTTGAAGTCGTGCCTGATGGTGTTGGAGTCGTGCCTGGTCATGCAGTCATGAGTGAACAGGGAGTACAGGAGGGGACTGAGCATGCATCCTCATGTTTCTGCATGATAATACACGGCCCCATGTTGCAAGGATCTGTACATAATTCCTGGAAGCTGAAAACGTCCCAGTTCAATGTCACCCATTGAGCATGTTTGGAATGCTCTGGATCGACGTGTACGACAGCGTGTTCCAGTTCCTGCTAATATCCAGCAACTTCGCACAGCCATTGAAGAGGAGAGCGACAACATTCCACAGACCACAATCAACAGCCTGATCAACTCTATGCAAAGGAGATGTGTCACGCTGCATGAGGCAAATGGTGGTCACACCAGATACTGGTTTTCTCATCCACATCCCTATCTTTTTTTTAAAGGTATCTGTGACCAACATATTCATATCTGTATACCAAGTCATGTGAAATACATAGATTAGGGCCTAATGAATTTATTTCAATTGACTGATTTCCTTATATGAACTGAAACTCAGTTAAATATTTTAAATTGTTGCATGTTGCGTTTATATTTTTGTTCAGTATACTTCTATGAGTTGGTAAACAACCTGAAAGGGTGCATACTGCCAGCTGGAGTGTGTTATTTGAACAGGTATAAAGCCAAGGTTATCGATTTACTGCCACCTACAGTTATGGAATGTTTGCTCACAAGCATAATTCATTGGCTGATCCCATAGGAAGCCTCACCCAGCTGAGTCCTCAATGGTGCTGCCCATCCTAAAATGGGATTTTGTGCACTAGAGTCCTTATCTATCTCTATGGGAAATGAACGCAATGGGTTTTATTTACGAATTGAATTGAGTTTCCCATCTCCTAATTTCTTAGTATTTCTGGTATGGTGTGTGCTGCACGAGTTTTGCAATTTAAAATGGTCACACTGATATTGATCAGAACACACCTCACCGACCAAAGGGGAGCAAACTTACCTCAAAGGCTGTTGAAGAACAGTGCGCACGGTTTTTGGGAAATGTGTTGTTCACTACAAACCGTCACGCAAAGTAGCAAATATTGAAACGAACTGAATGCACCCCGGTTTCCACTTGTGTCTTCTTCTGGAGTGCGGTGGTTTAGTTGGGGATATTGACCTGGGAGGTGAAGAGTGCCACCTATAATTCAGGAGGGAGCATTAAAATAGAGGCCAACATAAACATTTGTATAAATATTGTAATATTTAATTTAAAAAAATAAATGAAATGGAAATGTACAACATACACAAATCTGAAACATTTAGCTCGATGTCTCAACCATTGATGTGTATAAACCTTGTATTGAAGCCACCGGGCAGCCATATTGGCACTCCTTCTCAGTTATAAAAACTATTTTGGAAGCTATAGCAATGCATTTATCAATGTCTGCATTCGTTTTTGACACTTTTATTTTATTACAGACACCTTAATGCATACTTTTAAATGATATTATGTGAGCTAAACATAAATATGAAAAATATATAAAAACATTTTCCTTAAAGTATTTTTTCAGAGAGTATTAATGTTACAGTCCTCACTACAGCAAAAAAAAATATTTAATACATGTAATTTTGTCCTTGTAAAATTGTATTGAAATAATGTAGAATTCCATTCATTCCCATAGAGTACCACAGCATGAGTCATAATAGCCATAAAACGTAGCAGTCAAACAGGGAAATGGTTCCAATCGTCTTTCCACCATTAATCTTTCCCATAGGGGATTTTAGAAACGCTTAAAATAAGGGCTGTGTTTCGTGTAGGCTAACCCTGGCTTGACGTTTTGATAACCATGTAAATATATCTAGGACGTGGTGACTTTTATCAATATATTTCCTGAGTGGCGCAGTGGTCTAAGGCACTGCATCGCAGTGCTAACTGTGCCACTAGATCCTGGTTCGAATCCAGGCTCTGTCGCAGCCAGCCGTGACCGGGAGACTCATGGGCGGCGCACAATTGGTCCAGGGTAGGGGAGGGAATGGCCGGCAGGGATGTAGCTCAGTTGATAGAGCATGGCGTTTGCAACGCCAGGGTTGTGGGTTCGATTCCCATGGGGGGCCAGTGTAAAAAAAATATGTATTCACTAACTGTAAGTCGCTCTGGATAAGAGCGTCTGCTAAATGACGTAAATGTAAAATATTTGTCTGTATTTACCCCCCAAAATGAAATGCTAATTAGCTGCTAATGTGGCTATAATAAAGAACTGCAAATGCCATGATGATCTGGATCGAGTTAAAGGTAAGAATCTCTGGATTAACTATCTAATGTTAGTTAAATGTAGTAATTAATAAATTGGCTAAATTTATTTAAATGGACAATTCTGTGAACTGTCTTGTGCAAGTTTTAAATTGACACAATACCTGTTAGCAAAGGTGTCAGCTAGAAATGAAGTGCAGGAGCTTGCAGGGATTTGTCATTTTGCATGATGTCTACTTTGACACTAATTATCATTTTCGATTCTTTTTTTATTTATTTATTTGATTTCACCTTTATTTAACCAGGTAAGCCAGTTGAGAACATGTTCTCATTTACAACCGCGACCTGGCCAAGATAAAGCAAAGCAGTGCGGAAAAAACAACAACAACAGAGTTACATATGGAATAAACAAAACGTACAGTCAATAACACAATAGAAAATCTATATACAGTGTGTGCAAATGTAGTAAGTTATGGAGGTAAGGCAATGAATAGGCCATAGTGCAAAATAATTACAATTATAATTTAGTATTAACACTGGAGTGATAGATGTGCAGAAGATGATGTGCAAATAGAGATACTGGGGTGCAAATGAGCAAAATAAATAACAATGTAAATAACAATATGGGGATGAGGTAGTTGGGTGGGCTAATTACAGATGGGCTGTGCACAGGTGCAGTGATCTGAGAGTGAATAGAGCTGAATATATTGATAAAAGTCACCTTGTCTGAGAGAGATTTACATGGTTATCAAAATGTCACACCAGGGTAAGCCTACACAAAATACAACCCTTATTTTAAGTGTTTCTAAAATACCCTATGGGAAAAATGAATGGTGGAAAACCGATTGGAACCATTTCCCTATTTGACCTCTAGGTTTTATGGGTATTATGACACCTCCACTGTGGAGGACTGCTGCTCCTAGGGAGTGCCAATATGGCCAGTACATAGCATCAGCATTCCAGGGTTTATTTACGTCATTGCTCTAAACCATGCATCACCTCAAAATGTCATTTTTTAGGATACGGTTTTTCATGAGTGTACGGTAATGCCTACTACGCATGCGCAATGTCCTCAAGCGTCCTCAACGGTGCTTGGAAGGGAGGATATAAAGTTGGATCTATTTTTCCTTTGTCATATTGTCGATTGGTTTATCTACAGTGTTCATACGTATCGGTTGTCGTTTATAACAAACAGTGTTTCGTTATCGAAGAGTTCAATATCCTGATTTCAGCGACTGCACGGTACGTAACGCTAGCTAGCATTACTAGCCTAGCTGGCACTTGAGCCAAAGATATGTGCTTGAGCTGTAGGTTAACGTTAGCGAGCTAGTGTTGTATTCAAGAAGGAAGCTTTATGAGGATAGCGACGATTGTTAGTTAGCTGGCTTTGTACTGTAACGTTAGTTATGCTACACATTATGGTCTAACCTTAGTGGTATTGTAATAGTAGTCGAGGTAGCTAGATTACCTACATTCTAAAGCTTTTGGTAGCAATCAAGCTAACGTTAGCTAGCTAAACCTCAAGTGGTAGCGCGGTAAAGATGGTTTCACGGTGTGGTTGGTGTGCTCCTTGACTTTCCTCGCGCCTGTCTTGCTCAACTGCCGTATTTGTTGATAGTGAGTAGCTAGGTTACTATTTAATTACTAGCTAGAAAAATGATCATCCTTCAGAAGCTAGTTAGGGACTTAGCCACTGGTTTACAGGTATGTATGATGCTGCTGACTAACGTACCGGTACGGTAGTAGCTAACTAGTTGTCACTGATAATGTGACTTGGTAACGTTAAACTTAAGCTAATGCTGTTCGTGTTACAGTTGAATATCTGGCAGGTACAGTTTCCCATATCCATCGTGTGATCTTCACCGCAGCGAACCCATGGCTGACTCGGTGGAGACGTTCCAGACCCATCTAACCTCTGTCATGGACAGTTTGATCCGCGCATCGGTGTGCGAGATCACCAAACTGTTCCAGGACACGGTGAATGACTACCTGGTGGAAATATCGCTGAACAGGAAGGAAATGGACGCTCTAAAACTCCGACTCCGATTGACCGAGAACAAACTGAGAAATGAACGCAAGTACGGGATGGGGTGGGCAGAGAATCGCCGCAATGCTGGTTTGATAGTGTCGGAGGACGGTGGGCGGAAAAAGCGGAAAATTGAAGTGCCTCGTAAGTGTTCATATTTAGTAAGTACAGCCACAAAAGCATCACATACCATAAAGTAGTTTGTTACACATTTGTCTTTCCCTATGTATAAAACTGACATCATTCATCATATTATGATATGTGATTGCATTTCAAATCAACACAAGTTGATTTCTTGTGTACCATTAAGTCGAAAGCCTGTAATGCTTGTGTGAAGAGGTACTTGTTATGTTGGAAGCCATCTGGCAGAGGCTGAGCTGTCTCCTCTCTCCTTCCCTCTCTACTCCTCCGCTCTCCCTCCCCCACCTCCTCTTCATGTTCTCTCTTTCACCTCCCCCACTCCTATCTCCGCTCTCTTCTCTGCTTCCCTTCATCACGACCTCTCTCCTTCTCCCTACCCCCACCTCCTCCCTCCGCTCTCTTCTCTCCCTCCCTCTCTGCTCTTCATCACGCGCTCTCCTTCTCCAATTCTCTATTTGCTTTCCTCTCTCCTTTTCACTCCCACCCCCTCCGCTCTCCTTCACTCTCTCCCTCTGCTTCCTCTCCCGCTCTCTACTCCGCCTCCTCTCCTTCATGCGCTCTCCCTTCCCCCAACTCCTCCACTGTCACTGCTCCCCTCTCACCCCCTCTCCTTCATGCTCTCTCCCGCGCCATACTGGCCCTCCTCCTCCCGCTCTCCTCCAACATGCTTTCTCCCTTCCCCCAACTTCTCCACTTCTGTCACTGCTCCCCTCCCTCCCTCATGCTCTCTCCCACGTTCCCCCTCTCCTCCGCCTCTCTCCCGCTCCCTGCCATCTCTCCTCTTCTGTCTGCTTCCCTTCCTCTCCTTCATAATGCTCTCTCCCTTCCCCCTCTATCACCGCTCCCCTCTGTCCCTCCCACTCTTCTCTCCCTCTTTCCTTCATGTTCCCTTCTCCTCTCACCCCATCCACTCCCTTCCCTCTCTCCCATCCTCCGCAGGAGGAAAGCAGACGCTGGCCCCTGCCTTAGGAGTCGCGTGGGAGGAAGGAGGCGGAGGAGCAGCAGCAAGGGTAGTAACGGGGGGAGGGTGGAAGGAGGCACGCGAGCTCTACCTTATCCAGTTCCCTGGGGAGGAGGAAGGAGAACTAGAGGAGGAGGGGGGCTGTGTTTCGGGAGAGGGGGAGGAGACTGACAACATCAAAGAGGAGGTGAGGGAGACGAGGAGTCTGAATGTGGCACACACAACGTCACTGCATCAGAGACGACTACACTGAACAAAAATATAAACGCAGCATGCAACAATTTCAAAATGTTACTGACTTGCAGTTCATATAAGGAAAACAGTCAATTTAAATAAATTAATTAGGCCCTAATCTATGGATTTCACATGACTGTAAATACACATGTGCATCTGTTGGGCACAGATACAGCACCTTAAAAAAAGGTTGGGGCGTGGATCAGAAAATCAGTCATTATCTGATGTGACAACAATTTGCCTCATGCAGCGCGACACATCTCCTTCTCATACAGTTGATCAGGCTGTTGATTGTGACCTGTGGAATGTTGTCCCACTCCTCTCCAATGGCTGTGCGATATTGGCAGGAACTGGAACACGCTGTCATACAAGTCGATCCAGAGCATCCCAAACATGCTCAATGGGTGACATGTCTGGTGAGTATGCAGGCCATGGAAGAACTGGGAAATGTACAGATCCTTGTGACATAGGGCAGTGCATTATCATGCTGAAACATGAGTTGATGGCGGCGGATGAATGGCACAACCGTGGGCCTCTGGATCTAGTCACGGTATCTCTGTGCAATCCAAATTGCCATCAATAAAATGCAGTTGTGTTCGTTGTCTGTAGCTTATGCCTGCCCATACCCCACCACCACCATGGGGCACTGTTCACAACGTTGACATCAGCAAACCGCTCTCCCACACAACGCCATACACGTGGTCTGTGGGTGTGAGGTCGGTTGGACATACTGCGAAATTCTCTAAAACAACGTGGGAGGCAGCTTATGGTAGATAAATAAACATTCAATTATATGGCAACAGCTCTGGTAGACATTCCTGCAGTCAGCATGCCAATTGCACGCTCCCTCAACTTGAGACATCTGTAGCATTGTGTTGTGAAAAAAAACTGCACGTTTTAGTGACCTTTTTTGTCCCCAGCACAAGGTACACCTGTGTAATGAACATGCTGTTTAATCAGCTTCTTGATATGCAACACCTGTCAGGTGGATGGATTATCTTGGCAAAGGATAAATGCTCACTAACAAGGACGTAAACAAATTTGTGCACAACATTTGAGATGTTTTTCTGTGCATATGGAACATTTCTGGGATCTTTATTTCAGCTCATGAAACATGGGACCAACACTTTACATGTTGCGTTTATATTTTTGTTTAGTGTAGTTTATCAAAATAACAATGTGTATCTGCATGTGGTGAGACAGAACAATGTTCTTAAACTGCTGTGTTTGAGTGACTGAGACACTGCAGCAGTGGTCTGGTAGATGGTGTGGATGTTGGAAACACAATTTGATATTCAGGTGCAGAAGTGCTTGTTCAGTAGGGCACTCAAGTGTGGAACATTGTAGTCACTAAACATGAACATAATTTTAGGAGGGAACAGTTTTGTATTCTACCAAGTGATTGAAAGAATACAATTACATTTCTTCATGTCATCTTAAACTGTCTAAACGTATGTTTACAGAAAATGCCCAGTGTAAAACTTGACCAGTGTTCTTTGTGGCACTTGTGACTTGGGGATACTTGTGACTTGTAAATACTTATGAAAGTGCACTTTGCATGAAATGCTGGGTGTGGTACTGCACTCTGCATTGCAATCATGTGTACTGTATTGTAATCTATAGGGCTGTAGTGGTGTGTAATGTAGTTATTTTTGCTCTGTCTGTAGTCCGGTGACGTGGTGGAGGGGGGCTACCAGCCTGCGTCTCTGCGGCTGATCAAGGAAGCCCTGAAGATGGACCCGCCCAACCAGAACCGCCATGCTGGATCCAGAACCCACAGCGAAGGTACTGACACCAGCTCAAAGCTCGGAACCAAAAACATTATTACAACTTTTGGATAGACCAATAAATTCAGTGTTCCCATTGGGGTTTTCTTGTAGGTTTCACAGGACACTTGTTAAGGCCTTTGGCTCTGTACAGTGTTGTGTCTGCAGTACATTGTTTGCATATGCCCTCATAGTACTGCTCCTCTAAAAGACCCTCTCTCTCTCCATCTCTCTGCCCAGTAGGAGACATGGAGTTCAGCCCTATGGCCCAGGAGGCCCCGAAGCGTCCCCCAGCCGGGAGGCCTGAAGAGGAGGATGAGGAGTGGGACGTGGGGTCCCCTCCAACAGAGGTGTCGGAGGGGGGGCTGAGCGTGGAGGACCTGAGTGGGCTGGAGACGGCCCTGAGGGCAGAGAGGGGGCGCGAGCAGGCAGCCCTGAGGATCCCCCCCACAGCAGGCTCCATGACCCCTGACCCGGAAGTAATGGCAGGCAGCGAGTTCAGCCTGGGCCAGAAGTACATTGGTCTGGATGGTTTGGAACAGGAGGGGCAGCTGGGGAGTCCCACACCCTCAGAGAGGGACTCTAGTGATGCCCTGCAGGGTCCTGGTGCCCTTCTGAAGGAAGGTCAGAGGGCACTGCCAGGGGGGGCTGGAGGAGAGCTGCAGCCACGCTGGCCCAAGAGGCTGAGGGACGGTGAGGGGATGGGGGAGCAGGGAGGCTCAGACGAGGGCCTACATCACCCGTCTGCTCCGGGTAGCGTGGATGACAGTGGTGAGGAGGAGACAGGGGACCTGATGCATTTCTGCATGCAGTGCGGGGGGGGCTTTGCCAACGAGGCTGCGCTGGAGGAGCACCCCTGCCCCCTGGGGGACGCCCACCTACAGGGAGGAGGGACGGAGGACACCCTGTTCCCCTGCGCCTCGTGCGGCCACGCCTTCAGCCATGACTGGGCCCTGAAGAACCATGAGTGTGTGTGCGCAGCCGAGCGGCCCCACCGCTGCGAGCTCTGTGGGAAGGGCTTCACACACTCACGCTCGCTCGAGAGGCACCAGGTGGTTCACACTGGAGAGAGGCCACACCGCTGCCAGCAGTGTGGGCGGAGCTTCAGTCGCCTAAGCAACCTGGAGAGGCACCAGCGGATCCACACAGGCGAGCGTCCGTACGGGTGCGAGGTGTGCGGCAGGCGCTTCAGCAGGGTAGAGTACCTGAAAAGACACCAGCTGATCCACAGTGGAGACAGAGACAAGGCCGGCAGCGCTCACCAGTGCTCCCAGTGTGGAAAGAGCTTCAGCGAACCCGAGCAGCTCAAAAACCATGAGTGCTTTTTATAATTTTATGCGTTTGATAATTGAGATTTACCATGATTTCTTTGGGGGGGGAAAGTTGGAAGAAATTCCTGCTCAAGGTAGAAGTTGCTCCCTAACAGATCTAAGATCATTTTACCCTAGCCTCAATCCTAAAGTCTAAAGCTCTGACCTTGGGTCAGTGGTTAGGGACAACTTCTACCTCCTCTCAAAAAGAGGGGGAAAAGACTATGGTGATCATCCAGGTTGAGATGAGATGTCGAATTGTACATGGAGAAACTTGTTGTGCGTTTTGTATGTTTCTCAAATGTACATTGTCTTTATATTATTAAATTAGTATTTTCACTTTGAAAACATCAATCATGGCCTTGTTTATCTTTACTTTATCGATGATGATAACAATTGGGTATTTTGTACTATTAGTTTGTTTTCTGTATTATCCATCAGGAATAAACACTTGACTTTATTCAGTGACCAATGGTCTCCTTTCATATACTGTCAGTCCTCTCCATACTGTCAATTGCCAATGAAGCTAGAAAATTGTGTTTAGTTATGTCCCAAACATTCACACAAGCTGTCCATTTGTCACACAGAGTTAGTTTGTTTTATATTGGATATTTTATTTTCTCTCGTCAATAGCTATTGAAGCAAGCATGCCATGACGAACATTTTATATTTTGAATCTGAGGATGGAGAACAATCAACACCTTTATTGTGTGAATATTTTTATTTATTTATTCTGATTTCAATATTTAAAAAAAAATCAAATTCAATACATAAAAGTGTGGATTGTTCTCCATCCACTGATTCAGAATCTACAATTTTCATTGTCATGACATGCTTGGTTCAATAGCTATTGACGAGAGAACTGAATATCCAATATAAAACTAATTTGACCTTGGCGCCAAACCAACCTACTGGCTCTAAAAAGTGAGAAACAACACTTTCCTGTGGATATTTTGTCTCGAGCAGCTGAAAGAAAAAACGCACAGACAACTGGTAGAGTAAGTTTAAATGTGATTGTATTCATCATTCTTGCTTGTAAGGAACATTTCCACGATGTTTCAGGCTTTATATACCAATATGTACAGCCTGATTAATCTGACTAACTTAATGCTCTCCATCTCTCTCCCTACAGAAGCAGTGCAAACTTCTGTACTATAGTCACACATACAACAATTTTTGGTGGACTACAAAATATAGGAAGAGGGGTGTGTTCACATCAGCTCCTCTAGGTCCTTGTACCAGAGCAAAGATCAACTCAAGGTGAGCGTCTACAGACAGAGCGACGCTGACAGACAGTGATGTGGACATAGAGGGAGGGTTGGTTGATCAGCTGGGCCTAGAGAGAGCCAGGTGCCAGGGAGCGGTTGGGATGGGGAATCCCTGTCCTGACTGTGGGAAAACATTACGGTCAAACTATGGTCTGACCGCCCACAGGGTTGTACACCACACCAGGAGAATTTACCGGTGTTTTTTTTTTGGCCGTACCTGATATTTGGCAGGCTGATTGATCACGAGAGAACCCATGCTATTTTGACCAGCGCAAGTGTATCATCTTTAAAGCCAGGTCAAACACCAAGCAAGGGTAGAAAGAACTAGCTCATGTGACGCATGTTCAGAAAGGACTTGTTTTCATACCCTGTTGGTTTACAGTGTGTATATTGGTTGTATGGTTTTTTTGGTTTGAGAAATGGAAAATGTATAATGTAAAGAAGAACCAGTTCAGTGTTTACTCTGCTCAACTTACTTGTAATGCTAGTTAGGTGAGTGAGTGTTCTGGTCCTGGTCTGACAACCTCAAGAAGTGCTGCCATGACAATGGGATTTTCTTCCCAGTCACCAACGGATTCACAGCGTAGATCTATAGGAGGATTTTCCCCTTTTCCTAAGTAACCTCATCTCAAAATACATGTGATTTGCATTTATCGGTGACCTTGACACATGCTGCATGTGAACAAGGTTTCATTTGTATTTGGAGAAGATTCCATTCGAAGCTGAGAAGCTCTGTGTTGAGTGAGTGTGTTTTGTTTTCATTCATGCGGTTATCATACTTAAACAATTTGTATCTGCTTTTATCTTTGCTCGTGTAATTATTCAACGCATGTCCTCATCTTCACGAAACAAGATATTCTCTAGCAACCATTAAAACAGATTAGTGCTCAGTGGGTGTGTGTACTGTAACTGGTGTGCAAACGGTAGCATTTTATTTTTCGCTGAATATGGACAGTCCATAACAATCACACGAACTAACACACCTGCTCACCGACATTGGGTGTGAAACAGGCTGATGTGGATGCCCAGTCTCTGCTGTAGAATAGTCTCCACGGTGTCCAGGGGCATCTGCCTCACATCATACCCCCGAACAGAGGCCTTCACCTGGGGGTCCACCGGCACAATCTCCCCTCCACTCTGGGGGCCATTCCGACCCACAGTGGAATATGATGGGAAGTAGGGTCTCAGGCGGGGAGACTAGAGTTGTAGGAGGGGCAGCAGTAGGCAGACCACGTGTACTCTGGCACCGCCACCCGGTTGGCCATCCAGTGCTCAGAGAGGTATGGCAGTGGCCCTGTCACCACATACGCTGGCCCCATGCAGTAGTCACCCATCCGGGCCCTCATCTCAACCTCCAGCTGAGCCCAGGGGCCGGAGTTTGAGGCTGCCTGCTGAGGGACCACGTTGCTGAGGGTGAAGGTGGCCCGGTGGTCCTCTGGGGCCTAGTGGTGCAGGCTGGGGTTGAGGTGACCCTTGGTATAGGAGGAGCTGGTGTGGTCCTGGAGCATCTCCTGGCTCTCCACCACGTTCTGGTCCACGGAGCCATGCTGCGGGAAACAATGCATCTCTGGACTGGCACCAGAAAACGCCAACTTAGAACACAGAGAGAGAGAATATAACCAACACAGAGAGAACGATGGTTTAACCTACATGTTTATACTTTTTTTTTTACAGTGCTTATTACAGTGTAATAATTCTACCACTGGTAATTACTCTGAGCTGTTGGGTATAAGAATATAATTTAGAAAAAGAAGAACAAACACAGTCCTGAGCATCAAGTTATGATCCAGTCTTTTTATTCCTGGAAATCACTAGGTAGTGGTTTGAGTTTAAAATGGAACTGACAGCGTTTTAACTACTTTGCAGATATGAAACAAACAGGCAATCGTAATATTAGTAAAAAATATCAAATTCCCAGTTTATGCTTCAAAACCAACTTTATAAGAGGTTTTAAAAATAGGTTCTATTTGACTCAAAATTCCATAATGTAAAGTGAGGTATTGTTAGCAGAATAGATGGATGCAGTTCAACGCATTATTCATATAATTCACCAATACATTTCTTGGTACTCCAAAAAATATTGCTATCTGGTTGTAAATCACAGCTGGCCTGGTACATTGTTTGCTGCCTCCACCCATTAGGGATGCACTGTTTCAGTTTCAAGTTACTCAATGTTTTGAACAAAAACGGCCGACTGTAACTAAGGCTGGAAATGTCAATACAATGAAACTAGCAAGGGCAATGATCACAAGTCAGTCATAACATGGCTAATAGGCTAGCGCACGTGTCAAATACAAGGCCCGCGTGCCAAAACAGAGCAAGTATAAATGAGTCAACCTGTTGAGGCATCTACTGCGCTGGCATCAGTGAATTCAACTTCAATTGCGCTTCTTTCGTGTGTCCGGTTTACAACGCGCAGCAGAGGGAAAGTGTACAGTCCTAACTAGGCTACTAAAATATTGCAGTCTGGCTTCGGTTTTTTAAAGCTTGACAATGGATAACCAAAAAATAAAACCTGCAACAAAGCACCATGCAATGGAGAAAAATGTAGGCCTATTACAGCAACATTTGAGCAGTAGCCTAGGCTGGCTACTCAACTACAATACATTTTGAGTGCACTGTACAGCAATGCTGCATTCAACCCCACCAGGGATCCATGCAGTGCAAAAAAAAAGGTAAAAACATGTTTTAAGTTAAAATTTTACAACAATCCTATAGCTACGTTTTTGTTATTAAATATTGTCTATTAATGTTAAGGTTTGTATCATTTGATTTACACAACATGCCTACCACTTTGAACATGCAAAAAAAGTTTTATTGTGAAACAAACAAGAAATAAGAAAAAAAAACAGAACTTGAGCGTGCATAAATATTCTCCCCCCCCAAAGTCAATACTTTGTAGAGCCACCTTTTGCAGCAATTACAGCTGCAAGTCTCTTGGGGTATGTCTCTACAAGCTTGGCACATCTAGCCACTGGGATTTTTGCCCATTCTTCAAGGCAAAACTGTTCCAGCTCCTTCAAGTTGGATGGGTTCCGCTGGTGTACAGCAATCTTTAAGTCATACCACAGATTCTCAATTGGATTGAGGTCTGGGCTTTGACTAGGCCATTCCAAGACATTTAAATGTTTCCCCTTATACCACTCGAGTGTTGCTTTAGCAGTATGCTTAGGGTCACCTCTGTCCCAGTTTCAAATCTCTGGAAGACTGAAACAGGTTTCCCTCAAGAATTTCCCTGTATTTAGCGCCATCCATCATTCCTTCAATTCTGACCAGTTTCCCAGTCCCTGCCGATGAAAAACATCCCCACAGCATGATGCTGCCACCACCATGCTTCACTGTGGGGGTGGTGTTCTCAGGGTGATGAGAGGTGTTGGGTTTGCGCCAGACATAGCGTTTTCCTTGATGGCCAAAAAGCTCAATTTTAGTCTCATCTGACCAGAGTACCTTCTTCCATATGTTTGGGGAGTCTCCCACATGCCTTTTGGCGAACACCAAACGTGTTTGCTTATTTTTTTCTTTAAGCAATGGCTTTTTTCTGGCCACTCTTCTGTAAAGCCTATTTCTGTGGAGTGTATGGCTTAAAGTGGTCCTATGGACTGATATTCCAATCTCCGCTGTGGAGCTTTGCAGCTCCTTCAGGGTTATCTTTGGTCTCTTTGTTGCCTCTCTGATTAATGCCCTCCTTGCCTGGTCCGTGAGTTTTGGTGGGTTTGTTGTGGTGCCATATTCTTTCCATTTTTTAATAATGGATTTAATGGTGCTCCGTGGGATGTTCAAAGTTTCTGATATTTTTTTTATAACTGAACCCTGATCTGTACTTCTCCACAACTTTGTCCCTGACCTGTTTGGAGAGCTCCTTGGTCTTCATGGTTCCCCTTGCTTGGTGGTGCCCCTTGCTTAGTGGTGTTGCAGACTCTGGGGCCTTTCAGAACAGGTGTATATATACTGAGATCATTTGACAGATCATGTGACACTTAGATTGCACACAGGTGGACTTTAACTAATTATGTGACTTCTGAAGGTAATCGGTTGCACCAGATCTTATTTAGGGGCTTCATAGCAAAGGGGGTGAATACATATGCACACACCACTTTTCTGTTATTTATTTTTTATAATTTTTTGAAACAAGTTATTTTTTTCATTTCACTTCACCAATTTGGACTATTTTGTGTATGTCCATTACATGACAACCAAATAAAAATCCATTTAAATTACAGGTTGTAATGCAACAAAATAGGAAAAACGCCAAGGGGGATGAATACTTTTGCAAGGCACTGTAAAGGTAGATCTACCAATTAGTTAGTGTTTTTACTGATATCAAGTTTTTAAAACAAATTATTCAGTGATTAAAACGTAATTCTGTTACCAAATCGGTAACGTAATTACCGAATAATCTTCAAAGGAATTACTGCAATTGAATTGGCTACATTGGGAAATACTGCCATACTGTTATGTTCAGCTAGCTCATAACTGTTTTCTTTCTCTTTCTGTCATCTGGTGGACAAAGCAAGACTGTGAAAACAGTCTGGACAACCCCTCACTCTCCCTCTCTCTCTCTCTGCCGCTCTCTCTCTCTTCTCTCTCTCTACAGTTAATGTCACCTCTCCTGGCTCTTACTGACACCTACCATGACACCTACCACCTACCCTCTTTCCATTTACTGTAACAAGTATCCTCGCCCACTGAGCACCGACCGACACCGGACGTCCATGGACGTTGAAAAGTAGTTGAAATTTGGTTAGTCCGCCCTGGCCGGACCAAATCTGAACCAATCATAGACGTCTATGTTTCACAAGTTTGGACAGCACAGTACAGAACAGTACAGTAAAATAGAGTACAGTACAGTATTGTAAACTAGAGTAAAGTTCAGTACAGTAAAGTAAAGCACACTAGAGTGCAGTATAATTTATCAATAAGGCCTGAGGTGGTGTGGTATACAGTGCATTCAGAAAGTATTCAGACCCCTTGACTATCTCCACATTTTGTTACGTTACAGCCTTATTCTAAATTTGATTAAATAATTTTTTTCCCCTCATCAATCTCCACACAATACCCCATAATGACAAAGCAAAAACTGTTGTTTTTTTGTGTGCAAATTTATAAATAAATAAAAACTGAAATATTACATTTACATAAGTATTCAGAAACTTTACTCAGTACTTTGTTGAAGCACCTTTGCTAGTGATTACAGCCTTAAGTCTTATTGGGTATGACGCTACAAGCTTGGCACACCTGTATTTGGGGAGTTTCTCCCATTCTTCTCTGCAGATCCTCTCAAGCTCTGTCAGGTTGGATGGGGAGCGTCGTTGCACAGCTATTTTCAGGTCTCTCCCGAGATGTTCGATCAGGTTCAAGTCCGGGCTCTGGCTGGGCCACTCAAGGACATTCAGAGACTTGTCCCGAAGCCGCTCCTGCGTTGTCTTGGCTGTGTGCGTAGGGTCGTTGTCCTGTTGGAAGGTGAACCTTCGCCCCAGTCTGAGGTCCTGAGCGCTCTGAAGCAGGTTTTCATCAAGGATCTCTCTGTACTTTGGTCCGTTCATCTTTCCCTCGATCCTGATTAGTCTCCCAGTCCCTGCCGCTGAAAGATATCCCCACAGCATGATGCTGCCACCCCCATGCTTCACCGTAGGGATGGTGCCAGGTTTCCTCCAGATATGACGCTTGGCATTCAGGCCAAATAGTTCAATCTTGAGAGATCTTGTCCTTCTGGAAGGTTCTCCCATCTCCACAGAGGAACTCTGGACCTCTGTCAGAGTGACCATCGGGTTCTTGGTCACCTCCCTGCTCCCCCGATTGCTCAGTTTGGCCGGTCGGCCAGCTCTAGGAAGAGTCTTGCTGGTTCCATTCTTCTTCCATTTAAGAATGATGGAGGCCACTGTGTTCTTGGGGACCTTCAATGCTGCATAAATGTTATGGTACCCTTCCCCAGATCTGTGCCTCGACACAATCCTGCCTCGGAGCTCTACGGACAATTCCTTCGACCTCATGGCTTGGTTCTTGCTCTGATATGCATTGTCAACTATGGGACCTTTATATAGACAGGTGTGTGCCTTTCCAAATCATGTCCAATCAATTGAATTTACCGCAGGTGGACTCCAATCAAGTTGTAGAAACAGCTCAAGGATGATCAATGGAAACAGGATGCACCTGAGCTCAATTTCCAGTCTCATAGCAAAGGGTCTGACTATTTATGTAAATAAGGTATTTCTGTTTTTATTTGTAATACATTTGTAAAAATGTATAAAAACCTGTTTTCGCTTTGTCATTATGTGTAGATTGATGTGGACATTTTTTTAGTTAATCAATTTTAGAATAAGGCTGTAACGTATCAAAATGTAGAAAAAGGGAAGGGGTCTGAATATTTTCAAATGCACTGTATGGCCAATATACCATGGCTAAGGGCAGTTCTTAATCACGACGCAACCCGGAGTGCCTGGATACAGCCCTTAGCCATGGTATATTGGCCATATACCACAAACCCCTGAGGTGCCTTATTGCTATTATAAACTGGTTACCAACGTAATTAGAACAGTAAAAATACATGTTTTGACATACCCGTGGTATACGGTCTGATATACCACGGCTGTCAGCCAATCAACATTCAGGGCTCAAACCACACAGTTTATAATATACTGGATTGTACTATACTATACTGTACTGAACATATCTACTTTACTGTACTCTACTGTACTGAGCTTTACTCTACTGTGCTGTACTGTACTGTGATGTCCAAACTTGTGAAACATAGACGTCTATGATTGGTTCAGATTGGGTCTGGTCCGGACCAACCAAAGTGGTCTTGTTTGGGGGCGGAGCTCATTCGAATAATAGCCAGTGTGTAGAATGATACCCAAATATGCCAAAGAAGGATATTGCATATTTCTACCTTTTTGTACTTATTCAGGTGTCACGGAATCAGCCGAGGCTGCCCCTCCTCCTTGCTCGGGCAGGCTTCGGCGTTCGTTGTCCCCGGAGTACTAGCTGCCACCGATCTATGTTTCGGTGTTTGTCTAGTTTGTCCTGATTGTTTTCACCTGTTTCCCATTATGTTATATTGTATTCCCTTTATAACCCCCTGTCTCTCATTGGTTATTGTGTGTGATTGTTTTCCGTGAGGTCGGCAGTGTTCGGGTGTATGCGTATTTTGTTTCCTCCCTGTATGGAGGTTTTGTTTGTATTTTGATTACTGTGCTAGTAAAGTTTGTCTGCCAGTAGCTCGGTGTCCTGCGCTTGACTTCGCTCACCGCATACACGTCGCCCTGACATCAGGATACATCACCATAAAAATAATGTTATTCTTATCCATAATTATGCATTTCTGTGTAGTACAGGTCAGGGACCCATGATGTTATTCAATTTCCATAATTCTGTTACCGGATGCAAATCCACTTCATCTACTGTAGTTCAATAACCAAAACTCAAGGTGTCATGTCATAGCTGACACTGGGGACTGACTGGGGGACAAGCACTGACCTGAAGCTGACCATAGAATAACCAAAAATGTGACAGATAACAGGTTTCATTTGTAGACCCATAGGTATTTCCCCGTTCCCCCTTGGTGGAATGGAATGTGCTGACTTCCAACTGATGGATGGGTTAAAGGTCCAATGCAGCCATTTTTATCTCAATATCAAACCATTTCTGGGTAACAATTAAGTTCCTTACTGTGATTGTTTTAAATTAAAATGGTCAAAAAGAAACAAAAATAACTTCTTAGCTAAGAGCAATTTCTCAAGCAAGAATTTTGCTAGGACTGTCTGGGAGTGGTCTGAGTGGGGAGGGGAAAACTGAAAACCAGCTGGTATTGCCAGAGAGGTTTGGAACTCTCTTTCTTATTGGTCTATTAACTTATTTCCTGCCTGATGATGTCACCAGGCAGGTCAAAACTCCATCCCACCAAAACAGGCTGAAATTTCATGCGCTTTTCAAACAGCTCTTACACTAAAAGGGCATTATCATAATTTTAACAATTTCACAGTATTATTCCAAGCTCATAGTGTGAAAATATACACTGTGTACAAAACATTAATAACACCTGCTCTTTCCATGACATAGACTGACCAGGGGAATCCAGGTGAAAGTTATGATCCTTATTGATCCACAGTTTCCTGTGTGTATCAAGAATGGTCCACCACCCAAAGGACATCCAGCCAACTTGACACAACAGTGGGAAGCATTGGAGTCAACATGGCCCAGCATCCCTGTGGAACGCTTTCGACACCTTCCAGAGTCTATGCCCTAATGAATTGAGGCTGTTCTGATGGCAAAAGGGGGGGGTGCAACTCAATATTAGGAAGGTGTTCCTAACGTTTCATATATACTCAGTGTATATAAAATACAGGAAAATCACATTTTTGGCTGCACTGGGCCTTTAAGGTTAAAGACTTTAATCAGAGTGCTGACTCCTTTTCAAGGCAGTGTTCTGGAACGTTTCAAACCCTCAGGACAACACCTGGTTTAAAGCCTAGTCACAGACCCCTCTGACACTATTACATTACATTATTACAGTTAGGCCTACACCACATTTATGCAGCTCCTTTAACCCTATGGCTCCACCCTTCCCTCAAATACAACCTAATTAAAATTCAAGCATACATTTGATTTCACCTATTCAGTCCATTTAGATGTATGATTGCTTCAGGGGTGCATTAAAGGAGGAGCCAGGAACCGAAATGGAACTGGGCCAGAGCAATACCTGGTTCACTACGTGTCTGCCCACGGGGCTCTGTGGACATGTAGACACAACGTTCCAGAACACTGCCTTGAAAAGGTGAGGCTCGTACATACCGCCCCAACAGATCCAGGACAACACAATTGCCATGGCACTGCACACTGCCCTATCCCACCTGGACAATGTAAGAATGCTTTTCATCGACTACAGCTCAGCCTTCAACACCATAGTGCCCTCCAAGCTCATCACTAAGCTCAGGGCCCTGGGTCTGAACCCCTCCCTGTGCAACTGGGTCCTAGACTTCCTGATGGGCCGCCCCCAGGTGGTGAAGGTAGGCAACAACACCTTCGCTACGCTGATCCTCAACACGGGGGCCCCTCAGGGGTGTGTGCTCAGCCCCCTCCTGTACTCCCTGTTCACCCATGACTGTGTGGCCACGCACGTCTCCAACTCAATCATCAAGTTTGCTGACGAAGTGGTAGGCCTGATTACCAACAATGACGACACAGCCTACAGGAAGGAGGTGACAGACCTGGTGGAGTGGTACCAGGAAAATAACCTCTCCTTCAACGTCAACAAAACAAAGGAGCTGATCGTGGACTTCAGGAGACAGCAGAGAGAGCACGCCCCCATCTCCCATCCACATCGACAGCGCGGCAGTGGAGAGGGTCAAATGCTTCAAGTTCCTCGGCGTACACATCACTGAGGACCTGAAATGGTCCCTTCACACCGACATCGTGGTGAAGAAGGTGCAACAGCACCTCTTCAACCTCAGGAGGTTGTAGAAATTAGGCTTGGCCCCTAAGACCCTTACAAACTTCTACAGATGCACCATCGAGAGCATTCTATCGGGCTGTATCACCGCCTGGTACGGCAACTGCACCGCCCGCAACTGCAGGGCTCTCCAGAGGGTGGTGTGGTCAACACAACGCATCATCGGGGGCCCAATGCCTGCCCTCCTGGATATCAACACACCAGGTGTCACAGGAAGGCCAAGAAGATCATCAAGGACCTCAGTTACTCGGAACGCACAACTCATCGGTCCTTGTCACAGATGGGCTATTGCAGCAGAAGACCACACTGGGTTCCACTCCTATCAGCTAAAAACAAGAAGAAGTGGCTCCAGTGGGTCTTAATTTCTTGTTATTTTTTAACTTCTGGATTATGTGTGTATTGTTATTGTATTGCTAGATATTTCTGCATTGTTGGATCTCGAAACATAAGCATTTCGCTGCACCTGCAAAACTGTACACGACCAATAAACGTTGATTTCATTTGCACGTCTTCACCCTCTTCCGTGTAAACAGAGGAGTCTACTGCCTCAGACAGACCACACCCTCGTCGCCCTCTCACATACGGAAGAGTGAACGTTTCCCCTGCAGCCGCCAGCTACTTTCTGAGCGCAACCCCCTATCCTTTCAGTATGCGGACGGCTCGGAATGGCTACTGACGCCAGCGCGCTTGAGGAGCTACACAGCGAGCTCACCTGTCCAGTGTGCCTCGAGCTCTTCCGTGAGCCAGTGATTCTCGAGTGCGGACACCACTTCTGCCGCGTGTGCATTACGCAGTGCTGGGAGGCCAAGTCCGATGAGCACCCGACCTGCCCGAAGTGCCGGAAGACATGCCCTCGGAAGCTGCGCCCCAACTCGCTTCTGTGTAACGTCGTGGACAGCGTGAAGAGAGCTCGAGCCATGGATGGAAAACCCGGGGACCCGGAGAGCGCACAGGAGGATACTGAAGAACGGCAACGTGGGGCCATTATGCCCAGCTCCGGGTTCAGTTTCACCGGTTCTTCTTCGCGCCTCGAGTCGGACCTGTGCGAGGAGCACGAGGAGAAGTTGAAGCTATACTGTGAGGATGATCAGCTCGCGATCTGCCTGGTGTGCGGAATGTCCCGAGACCACAAGACGCACAATGTCATCCCCATCAACGAGGCGTTCGAGAACTACAAGGTAACACTTTTAGAACACTATTTTGTATTTATGTATAAACCTATGTAGGTGTTTAGAATACATATAGCCGGGTTAGTACATCATTGTCACAGGGACCTGACGCATTGGAATGCATAAGGTATTGCATAACCTGTCCATAAATCTCAAACTGAGCAAAGTTCAAAAATTACTATTCAATCAGATATTTTAAGTCTTGTAATATAAATGTGGACCCAAGACAATTTAGTCTTTCACATGCTAGAGCGCGAGACATGAGCAGACACTTAAGTCATTGTGGGTGTAGCCTATACTTGGAGTTCGAGAGGAATTTGGCATGCTGGTGTCAGGGCTTAGTTCCCAGACATATTTAACCTTTTATATTTGCCTTGAATGTTTGATGACATACATCAGACACCACACTGTTTTCACAAATCTTACCCTTCTACATTGTAACTTTTTGGGGGTTAATTTGGGTAACTTGTTGAAATGAAGCCAGTTAGTTGGAAAGGCCCGCTGATCATATGAGTCATATTAAGCTTGTTGTCAGACTACAAAGGATCCAAAACAGAAAATCTAATATTGACAAGAGAGTTGGGCCTAATTCAATTAATCTCTGTATAACGAAAAAAACGCTCTGTTTATCAGTTCAACTCTCGTAACTTCAAGCTGTGTGTGTGACTTATTTTTCCTCTTCCTCGTCTGCAGGACAAACTGTCCATAGCCCTGGAGAGAGTAATGATCCAGACTGAACAGGCTTCTTTCTATCAGGTCCAGACCAACAACAAGATCATGCTCATCAAGGTATATTGACTGTGCGTGTGTGTTCGTGCTGTCAGCGAGAGGCTTCTCATTTACAGTGCCCATCATCCTTGAAACATTTCAAGTGGCCAGTCGACATTCTGCTGCGTTGTCTCACCCAGGCACATTCAAATGAGTTAAATTATACAGGGTTTGTCAATGTGATTATGTTGTTACAGGTGTAACGTCAATATTGGAGTGTTGGGAATGTCTAATGCACAATGACACTGAGATTATGACTAATTATGAATAGTGTTTTTACCCATTCTTTCTCTCAGACACAGTGCAGACACACACACACACACACACACACACACTCTCACACCCCTAATGTAAACGTACACAGCATGACATAAAATACAGGCCTTAGTACTGATAAGATCAGTGATAAAATGTAGGATGGTCCCAGGTCTCTCCCTCTCTGTTCTAACACAGGCTTCACCTCACAAGGCTTTGTGAAGTAAATAAGAAATGTACAGGCTCTACAGTGTACATGTGTGTGAGGTAGATACCGAATGTGTACGATGTCAGCGGGGCGGTGGAGTCCTGCGTTTAAGATAACCACAGCACAGACATCGGGACTCCATTAAGGAGGCATGCCCTGTGTGTCTGTTTGTCTGTCACACGTTGAAACACTCTCTCCTCCAATCACTTGTTCTATCACTTCCCTCTGTCTCTCTGTGGGGCACAGGAAGTGGGTACGAGCAAGGATGTGTGTCAGCGATCTAGCAATCACGTAACAGATGTGGCAAATGTTTATGTGTGTGTTACTGTGTGAATGTTCATGTTGCTGTGTGTGTGTGCATGCAGCGGAGGTGGTTAGGTGTTCATGTGACGAGTGACTGTGTCTGAGAACTGAGAGGACTTTGTTTCTATTGACTTGTTTTAGTAAACTGACTGAGATTTGAATCATGAGATTTGAATCATGAGATTTGAATCACTATGTGTTGATCTCCTGCCTCCATTATCATTTAATGCGCTGTTGCCGTGTGTCTGTCTCATTGTGTTTCGTGATGTCTTTGTTTTGTATTGTTCTAAATCACTGTTGTCTCTGCCTCTTGATAGCCCGTCATTGTAAGTAAGAATGTATTCTTAAGTGACTTACTTGTATCATTTTAAAGGTTAAATAAAATAAAACAAACTTGACTAAAGCTCAGAGGGCTAACACAGTCTCTAAGATGTATTCCAACCCAGTCGGTAACATTTTTCTCTGTCCTACATCAGGAGCGTGCTGGGGACATGGAGGAGAAGGTGAGTGCAGAGTTTGGATGTCTGAGGGAGTTCCTTCTCCAGGAAGAAGAAAGAGTGAAGGAGAGACTGCAGAGGGAGAAGGAAGAGAGGCTCAACCAATTGGAGGAGGTCCTCAAACACACCACAGAGCAAATCAGCCACTTAGAGCAAACTGCCGACCAGCTCCGCATCAAACTCCGAGAGGATCAGAACCCGGCACAACTCAGGGTGAGACGAGAGAGGGGGGGGGGGAGAAAGGGACTGTAATGGAGAGAAGAAACAAGGGAGAAAATCTAGATTGTAGAGGAGGAAGGGAGAGGGGTTAAGGGTGGTGGTGGGGGGGGATAAAGAAATAGAGGGACAGTGAAAACGGAAAGAGAAAGGGGTGAATTAAAACAAGAATAAAGTAAAGGGTTTTTGAGGAGGAGAAGAAGTGTGTGCATGTCTCAGCAGGGCCTTATCACTCTGTTATTCTTTCTTTCAGGGAATCAAGGATTTTATTGGAGGGTAAGTAAAACAATCCATGCTTCTTATCTGATGCTACGGTTCATAGAGCTCTGCAATATCCACATGACTCCATATGAAAAAAAAAAAAACAGTAACCCAATGTTCCTCACAGTGTTTCGTTATTATTTACAGTGCATTCGGAAAGTATTCAGACCCCTTGAGTTTTTCCACATTTTGTTACGTTACAGCCTTTTTCTGAAATTGATTAAATTGTTTTTTTTTCCCCTCATCAATCTACACACAATACCCCATAATGATAAAGTAAAAACAGGTTTTTAGACATTTTTGCTAAGTTATTAAAAATAAAAAACGGAAATATCACACTTACATAAGTATTCAGACCCTTTACTCTGTACTTTCTTGAAGCACCTTTGGCAGCGATTACAGCCTCGAGTCTTCTTGGGTATGACGCTACAAGCTTGGGACACCTGTATTTGGGGAGTTTCTCCAAATCATGTCCAATCAATTGAATTTACCACAGGTGGACTCCAATCAAGTTGTAGAAACATCTGAAGGATGATCAATGGAAACAGGATGCACCTGAGCTCAATTTCGAGTCTCATAGCAAAGGGTCTGAATACTTATGTAAATAAGATATTTCTGTTTTTTATTCGCAACATTTTCTAAACCTGTTTTTGCTTTGTCACTATGGGGTATTGTGTGTAGATTGATGAGGAACATTTTTAATTCAATCCATTTTAGAATAAGACTGTAACGTAATAAAATGTGGAAAAAGTCAAGGGGTCTGTATACTTTCTGAATGCACTGTATTCATACTATAAGGCAGTGGTCGCCAACAGGTCGATCGCTGGTCGATCTTCAAGGCATTCCTAGTCGATCACCAGACATTTCTGTAGAAAAGCCAATGATAAAGGCTTGCGCTCCTTTTTTTATTATTGGTTTTGTGCTGTTGGCGGTAGGTACACTTGATTCAGAAGCCCTGCGCACCTGGTAGGCAAAGTGTTTACATTTTGAACCATTTCATTTGTCTGAAAAGACAAACTCCGCCCACCTGGCGGACTGGGAGATCTGTGGCTAAATCGAGTGCTCCTACTGCGTTGGCCAATCGGATAGCTCAAATCACTGTGCCTACAGAACTTCCCCGGCCACAGCAAAGTTTGATACTAGCCTACATAAGATTGAATAACTTTTCAAACCAAGACCACAGAGAGACTATCAAATAATACAGCAAAGAGTTGCTGTTTTTATGAGTGAGTTTATGTCTCAGTTTTTATTTAGCACTGTCAACGCTGTTTTATTCAACACTATTACAAAACATAAAACACACTTTTCCATACTTGCGCTGCAGCTGCAATGAATGAGTAACCAAGTGTAGGCCTGCATTTTTATTATTATTAGCAGCTCGTCGTGTCTACTTTAATATTGAGGAACATTTCACATTCTCTGGTCATAGGAACAACATTAATTTGTGCATGATTGAGGCAGATGCGGTGCGACTCGAGTTTCCCCATCAGGTGGATGACTGTGTCCCCTCTCTGATCAGTCTCACCGGCGGAAAGGAAGAGGAGAGCAGGGACCGTGAGAGGCAGACCATCTGCTGCTCTCTCCCTCCGCTGAGACTAATGCCGTGTTCAAAACAACTTGGAACTCAAAAATCTCAGACTTCAGTGCGTTCAAGACAAATTGGAACTCGGAAAAAAACTAGATCCGAATGGGAGAAATCGTTTTGAATGGTCATCCAACTCGCAATTCCAAGTCGGAAACTCTGGCATCTTTCTAGAGCTCCGACATTCCGACCTGAAGATCATGATTTGACCTCGTTTTTTTTCTGAGTTCCCAGTTGTCTTGAAAGCACCATGACCATCAGATGTAGGTACCATCAGTCCAGTGAAATAAAACATCGAATTATTTAAATTAATGGTCCACAGTGCCTCACAAGTGCTACACCAACTGATCTATTTTGTTATCAAAGCTCGAGTTTTGAAATATAATATGGTCTGAGAATAACAATATTGGCAGGCCAGTTATATAGCCAATATGCTGTGATAATGTTTTAGTCCTAGTGCCCAAACATCATTCCTACAGAACTGTGCTTATCTGTTTTTATTAGGTTAATGTTACATTGTTTAAGTCATGTTTAAAAACAAATCTGAGCAGTAGAGCTCGGCTTGCTTTTTGACTGCGAAAGGGATCTTGACTCAGAAAAGGTTGGTGACCACTGCTATAAGTGTACTTTCCAATTAGATAAAGACTCAGAAACCGGCCTTTCTAGGTAAATAGTGTAAACAAACGTTCTCTCTCTCTCGCTCCTTCGCTCTCAGAGCGGAGATTATGTTTGAGCGACCCCAGGAGGTGTGTGTGGATCTGCCGGAGGGGGACTTCCTGGGACCACTGCAGTACCGCACCTGGAGGAGGATGAACGCTGTGCTTCAGCCAGGTACAACCACAGCAATATAGAGTTAGACCACACCTGACCAAATATAGACAATACCTGACCACATATACAGTGCATTCGGAAAGTATTCAGACCCCTTGACTTTTTCCACATTTTGTTATGTTACAGCCTTATTCTAAATTTGATTAAATTGGTTTTCTCCTCATCAATCTACACACAATACCCCATAATGACGAAGCAAAAACAGGTTTTAAGATATTCTTGCAAATTTATAAAATATTAAAAAACGGAAATATCACATTTACATAAGTATTCAGACCCTTCACTCAGTACTTTGTTGAAGCACCTTTGGCAACGATTACAGCCTCGAGTCTTATTGGGATATGAAGCTACAAGCTTGGCACACCTGTATTTTGGGAGTTTCTCCAATTCTTCTCTGCAGATCCTGAGTGCTCTGGAGCAGGTTTTCATCAAGGATCTCTCTGTACTTTGCTCCGTTCATCTTTCCCTCGATCCTGACTAGTCTCCCAGTCCCTGCCGCTGAAAAACATCCCTGCATGCTGCCACCACCATGCTTCACCGTAGGGATGGTGCCAGGTTTCCTCCTGATGTGACGCTTGGCATTCAGGCCAAAGAGTTCAATCTTGGTTCCATCAGACCAGAGAATCTTGTTTCTCATGGTCTCATGGTTGTTTCTCATGGCAAACTCCAAGTGGGCTGTCATGTGCCTTTTACTGAGGAGTGGCTTCCGTCTAGCCACTCTACCATAAAGGCCTGATTGGTGGAGTGCTGCAGAGATGGTTGTCCTTCTGGAAGGTTCTCCCATCTCCACACATGAACTCTGGAATTCTGTCAGAGTGACCATTGGGTTCTTGGTTACCTCCCTGACCGAGGCCCTTCTCCCCCGATTGCTCAGTTTGGCCAGGCGGCCAGCTCTAGGAAGAGTCTTGGTGGTTCCAAACTTCTTCCATTTAAGAATGATGGAGGCCACTGTGTTCTTGGGGACCTTCAATGCTGCAGAAATGTTTTGGTACCCTTCCCCAGATCTGTGCCTCGACACAATCCTGTCTCGGAGCTCTACGGACAATTCCTTCAACCTCATGGCTTGGGTTTTTGCTGTCAACTGTGGGACCTTTTATGCACTGTCAACTGTGGGACCTTTTATAGACAGTTGTGTGCCTTTCCAAATCATGTCCAATCAATTGAATTTACCACAGGTGGACTCCAATCAAGTTGTAGAAGCATCTCAAGAATGGTCAATGGAAACAGGATGCACCTGCGCTCAATTTCCAGTCTCATAGCAAAGGGTCTGAATACTTATATAAATAAGGTATTTCAGTTTTGTATTTGTAATACATTTGCAAACATTTCTAAAAACCTGTTTTTGCTTTGTCATTATGGGGTATTGTGTGTATATTGATGAGGACATTTTTTATTTAATCCATTTTAGAATAAGGCTGTAACGTAACAAAATGTGGAAAAAGTCAAGAGGTCTGAATACTTTCTGAATGCACTGTAGACCACACCTGACTCCCTTAGACCACAGCTCTCACATATCTGACCACATTCCACCACAGGATCCACCTGATTGCATTCTATCAAACCTGATTGCACCTGACAGTATCCTACCACACCAATGTGTTGACCGCATACAGCCTGTCCTTTCTTTCGTATTTCAATGCCTCTGTCTCTCCCTAGGTGTGACAGTGGTGACTCTAAACCCAGACACGGCCTACCCCAGGCTGTGGGTGTCCCCGTGCTGCACCCAGGTCAGTGTCGGGGACATCCAGCCCAACCTGCCCAACAACCCTGAGCGCTTCACCCGCTACAACATCGTCCTGGGAAGCCAGGCCCTCACCTCAGGGCAACACTACTGGGTGGTTGAGGTGGGCACTAAGACGGCCTGGGGGCTGGGGGTGGCAGCCGCCTCGGTCAACAGGAAGGAGGAGATCTGCCTGTGTCCCGACGACGGCTTTTGGACCCTGGTGTTAAGAGAGGGGCGGGAAGGGAGTGAGTACGAGGCCTGCACCAACCACGAAGAGAGCCTGTTGCACCCCCCTCGCCCCCCCAGGAGGGTAGGGGTGTACCTGGACTACAGGAGGGGTGTGGTGGCATTTTACGATGCAGGGGATATGAGTCACCTGTTCACGTTCTCCGACGCCATGTTCAAAGAGCCGGTGTTCCCCTACTTCAACCCCTGGCCAATCATCAAAGGGAGAAACCGTGAGCCTCTAATTATTGTTAGCCCTGACCCGGAGATATGAAAGAACTGTTAAGATCTGTCAGAGAACACTGAGAACCAAAGACAAGAAAGTAGAACAAGATAGAGAACCTGTGAGAGAAACAGTAATGTCCTATTCACTAATGTACTAACACTTGACTATTGTTCACAGTTTTGTCATTTATGAACATTTCCTGTAAATATGTTGCCATGGAGAATATATGAGTGTTTTGTGTTTAAAGAGAGCACATGCCAGAGGACTCTGAAGTAAGCCACATGGATAAACTCATTGAGAAGCACCTTAAACATGACATTCTTATCCTTACAAATGAGCATGGCCAAAGAATGAAATGACAATTTCATACTATATTTATATAAAAGTATATATAGTATGCTGACACTGTTTTACAGTGTATTTTACATTTTAATAACAGAGTATATACCTCGTCAAATCAGATCATGCCTCCATTCTGCTCCTCCCCACCTATAGGCAGAAACTTAAGCAGGAAGCACCCGTGGTAAGGACTGTTCAACGTTGGTCTGACCAATCAGAATCTATGCTTCAAGATTGTTTTGATATCGCAGACTGGGAAATGTTCCGGGTCGCCTCTGAGAATAGTATCAACGTATACACTGACTCGGCTAAATGACTAAAATATAAGTGTGACTGGGTTCATCAGGAAGTGCATAGAGGATGTTGTTCCCACTGTTAAGATTAGAACTTATCCAAACCAAAAACTGAAAGCATGAACCACCGCATTTAACCACGGCAAGGTGACTGGGAACATGGACATGTATAAACAGACCAGCTATGGTTGCAATTCAACAGCTCAAATACGAAATGATAATCACAAATTATAAAGGGAACGCCAGCCACGTCGTTGACACCAACACCTCGCTCTCGGACAAGCTAAACACCTTCGCCCGCTTCGAGGAAAACAACATTGTGTGCTCTCGTTCTCCGTGGCCGATGTGAGTAAGACATTTAAGCGTGTTAACCCTAGCAAGGTTGCCGGCATCCCAAGCCGTGTCCTCAGAGCATGTGCAGATTAGCTGGCTGGACTGTTTACAGACATATTCAATCTCTCAATCTCTCCATATCCCAGTCTGTTGTCCTGTACCCAAGAAAGCGAAGGTAACTAAACAAATTAAGTGACTGGAATAGAGAAATACCTATGTAAGAATGTTGTTCGACTAAATCTCAGCCTTCAACACCCTAGTGCCCTCCAAGCTCATCACTAAGTTCAGGTTCCTGGGTCTGAACCCCCCCCCCCCCCCCTAGACTTCCTGACAGGCCAACCCCCAGGTGATGAAGGTAGACAACCACACCTCCGTCACTCTGATCCTCAACACGGGGACCCCACAGGGGTGCGTGCTCATTCCCCTCCAGTTCACCCATGACTGCGTGGCCACGCACGTCTCCAATTCAATCATCAAGTTAGCAGACCACAACTCAATAGTAGGCCAGATTACCAACAATGACAAGACAGCGTACAGCAGGCTTTTCCAACTGGCGGACTGCGGGCCAAATTTAAAAAATATATTTTTGAACATAAGACTGTAAAAACACCTGCAAATCCGCTCCAAGTGATTTTAATTTTGGAAATCTGTTCCAAAGTATTCCCACTCATAATTGAGAGATATATGTGACCGTATACAAACGTAAGCAAGGTTTGAAATTATTATGTTTTTGTCAAATATTCTACCTGTTTGGGCTTCTTACTGTCAATTTTCAGTCTACAAATTATTTGCAACTATTAAACAGTCACCATTAGCCTTAGTCACTGTTCTACCCAGCTACCACCCGGTACTCTACCCTGTACCTTAGATACTGCTGCCCTATGCACATAGTCATTGAACACTGGTCACTTTAATAATGTTTTCATACTGTTTTAGACCACTTTATATGTATATACTGTATTCTAGTCATGGCTCATCCTATATAACTACTGCTGTACACACATTTTCTATTCATATACTGTCCATACACACCATTATATACAGTATATACAGTGCATTCGGAAAGTATTCAGACCCCTTGACTTTTTCCAAATTTTGTTACGTTACAGCCTTATTCTAAAATTGATTAAATTGTTTTTTCCCCTCATCAATCTACACACAATACCCCATAATGACAAAGCAAAAACTGAAATATCACATTTACATAAGTATTCAGACCCTTTACTCAGTACTTTGTTGAAGGACCTTTGGCAGCGATTACAGCATCAAGTCTTCTTGGGTATGACGCTACAGGCTTGGCACACCTGTATTTGGGGAGTTTATCCCATTCTACTCTGCAGATCCTCTCAAGCTCTGTCAGGTTGGATAGGGAGCGTCGCTGATCAGCTATTTTCAGGTCTCTCCAGAGATGTTCGATGGGTTCAAGTCCGGGCTCTGGCTGGGCCACTCAAGTACATTCCGAGACTTTTCCCGAAGCCACTCCTGCATTGTCTTGGCTGTGTGCTTAGGGTCATTGTCCTGTTGGAAGGTGAACCTTCACACCAGTCTGACGTCCTGAGCACTCTGGAGCAGGTTTTCATCAAGGATGTCTCCGTACTTTGCTCCGTACTTTGCTCCGTTCATCTTTCTCTCGATCTTGACTATTCTCCTAGTCCCTGCCGCTGAAAAACATCCCCACAGCATGATGCTGCCACCACCATGCTTCACCGTAGTGATGGTGCGAGCTTTCCTCCAGACGTGACGCTTGGCATTCAGGTCCAAGAGTTCAATCTTGGTTTCATCAGACCAGAGAATCTTGTTTCTCATGGTCAGAGTCCTTTAGATGCCTTTTGGCAAACTCCAAGCAGGCTGTCGTGTGCCTTTTACTGAGGAGTGGCTTCCGTCTGGCCACTCTACCATAAAGGCCTGATTGGTGGAGTGCTGCAGAGATGGTTGTCCTTCTGAAAGGTTCTCCCATCTCTACAGAGGAACTCTGGAGTTCTGTCAGAGTGACCATTGGGTTCTTGGTCACCTCCCTGACCAAGGCCCTTTGCCACCGATTGCTCAGTTTGGCCAGGCGGCCAGGTCTAGGAAGAGTCTTGGTGGTTCCAAACTTCTTCCATTTAAGAATGATGGAGGCCACTGTGTTCTTGGGGACCTTCAATGCTGCAGAAATGTTTTGGTACCCTTCCCCAGATCTGAGCCTCGACACAATCCTGTCTCAGAGCTTTACGGACAATTCCTTTGACATCATGGCTTGGTTTTTGCTCTGACATGCACTGTCAACTGTGGGACCTTTTTACATAGATGTGTGTGCCTTTCCAAATCAAGGATGATCAATGGAAACAGGATGCACCTGAGCTCAAGGTAGTGTACAGGTAGTAATGTACAGTGGGGACTGAGGATACAGTGGTCTGGTGGAAACATTGACTGACTGTATCAAATCAAATGTTATTGGTCGCATACACAGTTTTGCAGTTGTTATCGCAGGTGCAGCGAAATGGTTATGTTTCTAGCCCCAACAATGCAGCAATATCTATAGTCTTAGAAAAAAAAAGGTGCTATCTATAACCTGAAATGGTTCATCGGCTGTCCCCATAGTAGAACCCTTTGAAGAATCCCTTTTAGTTCCAGGGAGAACCTTTTTGGTTTCAGGTATAACCCTTTTGGGTTCTATGAAGAACCCTTTCCACAGAGGGTTCTACATGGAACCAAAAAGGGTTCTACCTGAAACCAAAAAGGGTTCTACCTGGAACCAAAATGGCTTCTCCTATGGGGATAGTTGAAGAACCCTTTTGGAACTTTTTTCTACGAGTGTAGCAGTACAATAACAATACACACACACAATCCCCCAAAAAGACAAACAAGAAGTTAAGACATATCAGAATGAGCAAAATCAGAATGAGCATTAGAAAAGGTGTGTACAGCAGTAGTTATATAGGATGAGCCATGACTAGAATAAGGTATATACACTGAATAAAAATATAAACGCAACCTGTAAAGTGCTGGTCTCATGTTTCTTGAGTTGAAATAAAAGATCCCATAAATTGTCCATATGTACAAAAAGCTTATTTCTCTCAAATGTTGTGCACAAATTTGTTTACATCCCTGTTGGTGAGCAGGGGGGGTGCAGAGGAGTATTTATGTCTGTAATAAAGCCCTTTTGTGGGGAAAAACTCATTCTGATTGGTTGGGTCTGGCTCCCCAGTGGGTCGGCCTGGCTCCCAAGTGGGTGGACCTATGCCCTCGCAGACCCACCCATGGCTGCTCCCCTGCCCAGTCATGTGAAGTCCATAGATTAGGGCCTAATGAATTTATTTTGACTGATATCCTTATATGAACTGTAACAAAATCTTTGAAATTGTTGCATGTTGCGTTTATATTTTTGTTCAGTGGGTTAAACCGTATGTAAACATTATTAAAGTGGCCAGTACTCAATGACTCTATGTACATAGGGCAGCAGTCTCTAAGGTACAGGGTAGAGTACCGGGTGGTAGCAGGCTAGTAACAGTGACTAAGGTTCAGGGCAGGGCCCTGGGCGGAGGCTGGCCTAGTGATGACTGACAAAGTTGGCTAGGAGCTAGAAACAGGGCGACTGTCTGTCGGCACCATCTTGTGTCATCTATAATAAAAATGTGTTGTGCTACCTCCACAATGTAGTCGTTCTACAGATAGATTACACAAATTGTTGTTTGGGAACATGCAGATAATGAACTGTCTGGCTGCCTGTTGGAGCTTGACTCTTGTGTATTGAGACTGTTGTTCTCTTTCAGTCCACTGGAGGGCGATCAAACAATATCCACCCTATAATTCATTCTCACACTGGTGACCACAAAAGAGAATGAGCTTTAGAAGATGAAGTGCTGCACTTAAGAAATCATTGATTAAAATCCATAATCCGTGATCAATTATTTTTGGTAGAACTAACAGCTCAGAAAGGGTTTCAGATTAGAGCAGAGGGTCAAGGTGGTGCTGAGCTACTGAGAGAGCACCACATGATCATGTGTGTCTCTGTGTGTGCTGTGTGTGTGATCAGGAACAGGTGAGTGTGGTGTGTATTAGCAGGAAGTGTGTGTTGTGTGTTAGGATTATCACCCAGACATTGTTTCAGCCTTCTACCTCTGACACGTTAAGCTTGATAAGCCAGGAGCTACCAGCCTATACCACAATACCATATGAAAAAATACAAAATCTGTTAAATACTTTCAATATTTGGCGCTGGACATGTATAACAACACAGGCTATAGACCCCTTTCTGTGTTTGCAAACATTTCCACATGAGGGCGATGTGCGCAAGTTGGTGGCAGAACAAGGGGGAGTTCTTATAGAATGGCAGCAAAAAAATACTATATTTACATGTTGCTTATGAGTGTATTCCACACTACTTTTGGATTATAATTAGATTTTAAGGCTCGTTTGAATGTCATGCTTAACATAATGTTTGTGTCATCATTGTAAATCAACTGCATGATACTTAAAAAACACTTCATCTTCAACCAGTCTCTTTGGCTAGCTTTTATTACAGCCTATATCAATTAGTGTTAGCATTCTAGCTAACAACTGCTGCATCCAAAATAGTTATTTTGCAAAGATCACAACCAAATATAATCTTAGCGACTGTTCAAGCAAGACTCAAAACATCATTGTAAGCGTATGAGAACCCCAAAAAGTTATTTTATTTAGAAGTGATAAAAACTTCAATCTAGGCTATGTTGAATGGACGCAGATGGCGATGGCTTTCTTTCTGCCTCCAAGAGTCGCGTGCATCAGTGCGTGACGTCAGTGTGTTGTGTACTGGAAAAGGGACTATTGTATCCTCAGACGGGCACACAACTATTATAAGGCCTATTCAGACTTGAGATAAGTTGACTTAACATGGACTTAAGTAAAAAAAAGTCCATGTTACGTCTACTTATCTAAAGTCTGAATCGGGCCCATCGTGAGTTCATTGTCTATTCTTCTTTAATTAACAAACAAATTAATGATGAAGGTTCATCTAGTTCAGCCCCTCTGTCTATCGTATCTGTAATTAGATATCACTCCGAGGCTAATCTACATGCAGTAACAGGAGCCTTCTGTTTTACATGACTGTTTATCCATCCATCTATCACCTCCCTCTCTCCTTTCTTCCTTCCCTCTCTCATTCTCTCTCTGTAAAAGGAGAGATAACACGTCGTAGGCTTACAGGTAGATCTCTGGGATCAAGGAGAGGACTTTGTTTAATGATTGGAAGAGTAAACAACCTTGGATATAATTTCAGATATATTTTCCAGTGTTTAATAAACGTTATTCAGAGCCTCACACCACTAAACCTGGATCCCATAATCATCAGAGAGGCCTAAATCACCTCACCTCTGGATACTCCTAACTTGCCCCCCCCCCCCCCCCATCCCCTCTCCTTTAACTACCTGTCTAACTCTCATAGTTTTTCTCTCGGGCCCCTGAGTTATCACTTCTTAAAATACGTCCCTCTATTTTTAAACCCCAGTGTCTCTCTGGATGTTTTTACCATAATTGATCTCCTTTCTCCCCCAGTCTGGGTTTATGCTCCCCCATCAATAATAAATGACTGCATGAGGGAGAGAGATATGCTTAAAGTGATTAATGGAAACCTCATTAGGAACTGGAGAAATGTTTGGCAACATACGCTTACCCTTCGGCTTGCATGCTATCAACTTCTCTTACAGCCGGAAAGGGGTTAATACTGGCTAAGAAAGGTGAATTGAGGGGTCAGAGGTCAACAGTGAAGAGGCGACTCCGGGATGCTGACCTTCTAGGCAGAGTTGCAAAGAAAAAGCCATATCTCAGACAGCCCATCTTAATCTTTTCTTTTTATTGGCCAGTCTGAGATATAGCTTTTTCTTTACAACTCTGCCTAGAAGGTCTCCTTCACTGTTGACATTGAGACTGATGTTTTGCGGGTACTAATTAATGAAGCTGCCAGTTGAGGACCTGTGAGGCGTCTGTTTCTCAAACTAGACACTCTAATGTATTTGTCCTCTTGCTCAGTTGTGCACCGGGGCCTCCCACTCCTCTTTCTATTCTAGTTAGAGCCAGTTTGCTCTGTTCTGTGAAGGGAGTAGTACACAGCGTTGTACGAGATCTTCAGTTTCTTGGCAATTTCTCGCATAAAATAGCCTTCATTTCTCAGAACAAGAATAGACCTACGAGTTTCAGAAGAAAGTTCTTTGTCTCTGGACATTTTGAGCCTGTAATCGAACCCACAATTGCTGATGCCCCAGATACTCAACTAGTCTCAAGAAGGCCAGTTTTATTGCTTCTTTAATCAGCACAACAGTTTTCAGCTGTGCTAACATAATTGCAAAAGGGTTTTCTAATGATCAATTAGACTTTTAAAATGATAAACTTGGATTAGCAAACACAACGTGCCATTGGAACACAGGACTGATGGTTGCTGTTAATGGGCCTCTGAATGCCTATGTAGATATTCCATTAAAAATATCAGCCGTTTCCAGCTACAATAGCCATTTACAACATTAACAATGTCTACACTGTATTTCTGATCAATTTGATGTTATTTTAAATGGAGAAAAAAAAATGTTTTTCTTTCAAAAACAAGGACATTTCTAAGTGACCCCAAACTTTTGAGCGGTAGTGTATATACACATAGTAGATGTAGGAAGTAGAACAAACAGTATGAGGCTAGGTTGTATTTTATAGTCCTTGTTTAGTGAACTGAAACTGATTGGAGATAGGCCCAAGTGATAGAGTGAGAGAGAGTGATGCTCACCATTTATCCTTGAACTATTGTATTTGAGCACCTTCACGATCTTATGAGGACTAAGTCAGTGGAAGCTTGTGGGAGGAGCTATAGGAGGACGGGGTCATTGTAATGGTTGGAATGGTATACATGGAATGGTATCAAACACTTCAAACATATGGAAACCACATGTTTGACTCCGTTCCATTTATTAATTTCAGCCATTACAATGAGCCCGTCCTCCTATAGCTCCTCCCACCAGCCTCCACTGGACTACGTACAGTTCTGGAATTGGAATGAGAAGACGAGTTGGCGAGGAAGAGCAGAGGTAGTGTTATTTATAGAGGCTTTTAGTTTAATTAAATATCTGTGGAGCCGTCAAGCATGTCCGTATAAGGACGAGCTTATAGTTACATTGTAGAGTCTAAACATGAAACGCAGGCAAGCTGTGTGTGTGTTTTGAAACACTATACCCTCAGTAGGCAGGATGTGTGTGTGTGGTGTGTGTGTGTGTGTGTTAGTCGTGCCTATATGATGTATTTATCCATGCATGCATGTTCGTGTTTGATGGTAATGACACGTCATGTTTTTAACTCCTATGCAGCAAAACAGCCTTTGAATCTGTATGCAGCCCCTCTTCCCTTCTCCTCCTCCTCCTCCTCCTCCTCTTCCCTTAGCAAATGAAAGGCTGACCTGAACACCTCCCTGAGAATCCAATTTGCGTTCCAACAAAGGCCAGGAATATGACAGGGTAGAGGATTGGGGACAGATTGAGCGACAGAAAAAAGGGGGAGAGAGAATAAACGCAGAGGATTATTGTCAGGGCGAGCCACAGAGCGTCACAAAAGAGAGGGATGGAGGGAGTAGGTTAAACACATGTCAACCTGGGTAGACAACATATCACTACACAAAACAGGTCACAGGCAGGCAACATGAGAGAGAGACAGGAAGAGAAGAGAAAAAGAGGGGAGAGAGAGAGAAGACGAGAGGATATGAGAGGAGCACAGAGCACACAAGAGAGGGATGAGAGGAGTAAGAGATTAGAGACACTGTCGAACCTGGGTGACACAGTCACTGACACGAAAGGGCAGGTCACAGCAGGACAACATGATGACAAAAAATGGGAAAGGAAAGAGAGTGGAGAGAGGCAGCGGCAAATCACGAACGGGGGGATAGATGAGACGGGGAGAGACGGGAGAAAAAGTAGGGAGGAAATCGAGGAAGTAAAAAGGTGGACGATTTTACCTAGCTCAGAACATCAAGGCAGCTTGCAGGACACCTATAAAAACCACTACTGGACACAATAGAGAGAGAGGGACGGCCCCACCGAACGGATAGAGAGACGGAGACGGAAAGAGTAGGGAGGAATCGAGAGAGAAAGTGACGAGTTTATTGAGAATCAAGTCAGTTTGAGATCTCTAAGAAATCCACTGGAATCAGAGAGGAGAAGAGGAGAGAGAGAGAGAGAGAGAGAGACAGAGAGAGACAGAGAGAGACAGAGAGGGAGAGAGAGGGAAAGGGAGGGGCAGCAAGAGAGTGAGCGTGTAAGCAAACAACACCGAGATGTTCATGATCATTCAGAAAGACTCTTCCGTCGGAGAAAGCGTTACAGAAGGGATGAGCACGCCGCATGAGAAAACTGCAAAACAGGTGTGTGTGTGTGTGTGGTTTGTGTGTGTTTGTTTTCATGTGAATGCTTCATTTACAGTTAATTACACAATGTATTTAGAATGTGGCTGATATATTAATTATACTGTGTCATTTCTCTTACTCTAATAAACAAACTTTGATGTTTTAGCGTCTTTTTGTTTTTCAGATTATATTATGTGGCTATATGTCTGTCTGTCTGTCTGTCTATGATTGAGGGGCTCACTGCTGTGTATTAGGGGGAGTTGAGGGGTAGAAGATGAGAGGATTGATATAGAATGAGGTGGGGGTAGGGATTTTCTTGCAGGTATGGTATATGAAACCAGTGAATCTTAAGGGTTTTGGCAGAGGTTATGGGATGAGATACATTTTTTGAGAATTTTCACCTGTGAATTTAACCTCAAACACTAATTTATTCATTAATCAATGACTGTTAATTATTCAGTGTGAAATAATAACATCTTATTAGTTTAATAGTTTTTATGAAACTTTAGTATGGAAATTGACTCAGTCCCTGACTATCAGTATGAATGTTGTTATAATGGATCTCTCACATGTACTTTCCCCATGCAGGTAAAAGCAGCGATCAGTAAGAAGGTTCAGAGGCAGCAGAAGAAGCAGAGGAGGTGGTCCAGTGAGCAGAGTGGAGTCTCAGAGGTCTCAGCGGCTGGAGTCAAGCCCCCCCATGGTAGGAGGTACACTCCCTTCCCCGTGACAGCGAGAGACAGAGAGAGGGGTACAGGGGATGAAGAGGAGGAAGAGGAGGACCTGGATGTGGAGGAAAAGGTGGCAGAAATGATGAAGACGGGTAGTCAGAAGCAGGAAGAGAAGGAGCCCATAGACCTGCTGCCTATAATGGACCCAGCGTTCGGACCGGTAAGAACCAGGATGACCTGGCATAGACCTGCTTTAGCCGTGAGTGTGAGTGTGTGTGTCCATCCATGCCCATCCATCAAGGCATGATTGAAATCTACCCAGGTCCCAATTGAAATTCTAAGCCCCCCTGCTCCAAATATAAACGCTGACTCTGTCCCAATACTCTACGGTAGCTGCTTATGCTATATCCTATGGCCCATGGTATATTCTGACCTAAGCCACACTGACTGGACAGGTTATAGTGTGCATTTTGTTTAGCGCTCATGCTAATAGTCAGACTGGACCTTGATATAATGTTAGCCTTAATGCTAACAGAGTTGTGTTGTTTATCTATGTGTTCAGGGTTCATGTGGTAGAAGCATGAGGATGTAAGCTCCTTCGTTGGCATCCTCTACATTATGAAAGTGTAATCCATAACAAATATCATGTTACGCCCCAGGACTTATTAACACCAAACAGTTCTCATCCCCACCCATTGTATCAGCGGCTATCACCACCCTCCCACACGATAAAAGCATGACACGACACACTATACAACTCAACATCACAACATCTGCCCATGGCTTCAGAGTCTTGGAGGCCACGGTTTGCCCTCAGGAGGCCGGTTCTTCCTCCCTGCCTGCCCTGCCTGCCTGCCTGCCCTGCCTGCCTGCCTGCCCTGCCTGCCACATCCTGGCCTGCTCTCCCCCTTGCCCGTATTCAGCTCTGGTTCTGAGTTACTGCAGACTTCCTGTAGTCTGAAACATCAAAGACAATGACTCACAACTAATAATAAAGACTCATACACCTGGATAGGTCAACTCATTGATTTTGTTGGAGAAAATAGATTGATTCTGTTGGAAAGATAAAGAGAGCTAGGAATGATAAAGAAAGCTAGGAAATCAATGGAAACGGAAAATGGTAAAGAGGTCAATGGTAGTAGCAGTGAAGCAATATGGTGAGAGTTTGAGAGAGGGAGAGAAGCCGAAGGGTGGAGGAAGGAGAGGAGAGAAGAGAAGCTCATGTGGTGCTCTAACGGACAGATGCTATAAATGTCCAGTATGCCGGTGATATGCGTGTGAGAGCCGTGTAGTAAGTGTGTGGTGTGTAGTGACCCCCCTGCCCCTCATATAATCAATTTGTCAACCATTTACGGACAACATACTAAGAATTGAGAACATGTGAGAACAGATTGGTGCTTGCATAAACATCCACACCTACACAAACAAAACAAGCTCACATACAAACACACAAACAGTCTATCTTGTCCCCTCAAAAACATACACAGTAATACAGTAATATCCATACTCATCCTCTCAAGCTTTCCCTCTTTTTTATCGTTCTACCAGTGGAGGCTGGTAGGAGGTGCTGTAGGAGGATGGGCTCATTGTAAATGCTGGAATAGAATCAATGGAAAGGAGTCAAACGTGGTTTCCATATGTTTGAGGTGTTTGAAACCGTTCCATTTATTCCATTACAGCCGTTACAATGAGCCTGTCCTCCTATAGCTCCTCCCACCAGCATCCACTGCTTTCTACTGTACCTTTTATTTTGTATCTTTCTCAGTATTTCACTCCCTCTCCTTCCTCCCTCTCAATCTTTCACTCCCTCTCCTTCCTCCCTCTGTCTTTCACTCCCTCTCCTTCCTCCCTCTGTCTTTCACTCCCTCTCCTTCCTCCCTCTGTCTTTCACTCCCTCTCCTTCCTCCCTCTCAGTCTTTCACTCCCTCTCCTTCCTCCCTCTCAGTCTTTCACTCCCTCTTCTTCCTCCCTCTCAGTCTTTCACTCCCTCTCCTTCCTCCCTCTGTCTTTCACTCCCTCTCCTTCCTCCCTCTCAGTCTTTCACTCCCTCTTCTTCCTCCCTCTCAGTCTTTCACTCCCTCTCCTTCCTCTTCTTCTTCTTCTCTTTCTCTGTTTCTGATAGACAGGTTGAGTTACTGGATACTGGTGTCAGTATCTAAGACCTGATCAGAACACAATAGCTCAACATAATTACCGGCTCCTACACGCATATCGCCATAGTGACCAGAGTCTTACTTCCAGTCAAGGGTTAGAGTAATGTTGCATGACGCATGTCTACCTGAGTCTGTCACAATATGTGTGTGTGTGTGTGTGTGTGTGTGTGTGTGTGTGTGTGTGTGTGTGTGTGTGTTTGTGTGTGATACCTAACAGAGATCAGATCCTGTTGAGAACACACAGAACCAGAAACCCAACAGTCACATGATTAATTGACACTATCAATACTTAAATAACAATTAGATAGATAATCAGTCTTAATCGCATTTTTTGCATCAGTGACTAGTCCTCAAATCCACTTTGATTTGTCACATGCTTGGTAAACAACAGGTGTAGACTAACAGTGAAATGCTTACTTACGGGTCCTTTTCCAACAATGCAGAGTTAAAGATAAAATAATATAATGAAAATAGAAATAGTGACACGAGGAATAAATGAATACTATATATAATAATATTCCTGAGTTTAGCCCTGGGTCTAGACCTGATTAATCCTCAGTACTAGAACCATCCTCTTAGGCAGTAACTCTATCATGGCTAGGAGACAAATGTAGTTACTGGTCCTAATGCAACCACTGGTCTGTGTCCAAGGAGAGAGCCTCATCACTTGAACTGGGACCAAATGTTGTTTACCAACTAGGCCGGCTAAGAGTTTTAATGAAGCACCATATTGGCATAATCTGTGGTGTGGTGTGGTGTGGTGTGGTGTGTCGTGTATGTGTGTGTGGTATATAAATAGCATTCTTAGCAGGATATATTCCATGAACACTTAAAGATGAGGGGATTACCAGTTTTAATTTGGCTTTAAATTCTGCCAAATATTTATGGGATAAGTACTGTACTATATTTTGGACAGAAGCTGCCCTCTACTGGTAATACATTGACACTGCAGCATAGAAATGACCTCAATATGCCCCTGACTATGCACCCTGTCACTGCTCACATAGAAATACATTTGATTGGTAAATTGAATTGTAAATAGAGTTAGTGTGTCAGCGCAAAAAGCTAAACAAAAAACAATACTTTGATACTAGGCCTGTACTTGCTATAGTTAGATACTAGTACTTACTGAGGATTTATCCAAAATGTTCATTTGGCCCCAAAGCCCAAATCTGTCCACAAAAGTATACAGTGAGGGAAAAAAGTATTTGATCCCCCGCTGATTTTGTATGTTTGCCCACTGACAAAGAAATTATCAGTGTATCGTTTTAATGGTAGGTTTATTTGAACAGTGAGAGACAGAATAACAACAAAAAAATCCAGAAAAACACATGTCAAAAATGTTATAAATTGATTAGCATTTTAATGAGGGAAATAAGTATTTGACCCTCTCTCAATCAGAATGATTTCCGGCTCAAAGGTGTCTTTTATACAGGTAACAAGCTGAGATTAGGAGCACACTCTTAAAGGGAGTGCTCCTAATCTCAGTTTGTTACCTGTATAAAAGACACCTGTCCACAGAAGCAATCAATCAATCAGATTCCAAACTCTCCACCATGGCCAAGACCAAAGAGCTCTCCAAGGATGTCAGGGACAAGATTGTAGACCTACACAAGGCTGGAATGGGCTACAAGACCATCACCAAGCAGCTTGGTGAGAAGGTGACAACAGTTGGTGTGATTATTCGCAAATGGAAGAAACACAAAAGAACTGTCAATCTCCCTCGGCCTGGGGCTCCATGCAAGATCTCACCTCGTGGAGTTGCAATGATCATGAGAACGGTGAGGAATCAGCCCAGAACTACACGGGAGGATCTTGTCAATGATCTCAAGGCAGCTGGGACCATAGTCACCAAGAAAACAATTGGTAACACACTACGCCGTGAAGGACTGAATACCTGCAGCGCCCGCAAGGTCCCCCTGCTCAAGAAAGCACATATACAGGCCCATCTGAAGTTTGCCAATGAACATCTGAATGATTCAGAGGAGAACTGGGTGAAAGTGTTGTGGTCAGATGAGACCAAAATCGAGCTCTTTGGCATCAACTCAACTCGCCGTGTTTGGAGGAGGAGGAATGCTGCCTATGACCCCAAGAACACCATCCCCACCGTCAAACATGGAGGTGGAAACATTATGCTTTCGGGGTGTTTTTCTGCTAAGGGGACAGGACAACTTCACACATCAAAGGGACGATGGACGGGCCATGTACCGTCAAATCCTGGGTGAGAACCTCCTTCCCTCAGCCAGGGCATTGAAAATGGGTCGTGGATGAATATTCCAGCATGACAATGACCCAAAACACACGGCCAAGGCAACAAAGGAGTGGCTCAAGAAGAAGCACATTAAGGTCCTGGAGTGGCCTAGCCAGTCTCCAGACGTTAATTCCATAGAAAATCTGTGGAGGGAGCTGAAGGTTCGAGTTGCTAAACGTCAGCCTCGAAACCTTTATGACTTGGAGTAGATCTGCAAAGAGGAGTGGGACAAAATCCCTCCTGAGATGTGGCAAACCTGGTGGCCAACTACAAGAAACGTCTGACCTCTGTGATTGCCAACAAGGGTTTTGCCACCAAGTACTAAGTCATGTTTTGCAGAGGGGTCAAATACTTATTTCCCTCATTAAAATGCAAATCAATTTGTAAAAAAAATTATATGCGTTTTTCTGGATTTTGTTGTTGTTATTCTGTCTCTCACTGTTCAAATAAACCTACCATTAAAATTATAGACTGATCATTTCTTTGTCAGTGGGCAAACGTACAAAATCAGCAGGGGATCAAATACTTTTTTCCCTCACTGTAGAGGAACAGTGGTCAATTGATCTTGTAACGGACATCTGTCACCCAGTCAATCTTAGCACTCGTACTTCTTATCTACTACTATCACCATACTTCCAGGTTTGTGTGGCCGTGAGCGAGAGAGAGAGAGAGAGAGAGAGAGAGAGAGAGAGAGAGAGAGAGAGAGAGAGAGAGAGAGAGAGAGACATTACCAATCTACAGTACTGTATAATCAAATATTGAATAAATATTTGGCAGAATTTGAAGCCAAGTTACATCGGATAATCCTCATCTTCGAGTGTTCATGGAATGTCACATAATTTATATCCCACTGTTGTAACACACACACACACACACACACACACGCACAAGTGTGCACACACA